ATAAAAATGAAAAAAGGAAAAAAAACTAAAACCTAATTTCAACATATATTAAAAAAATGCTACAAAGAATTACTATTCAGCAGTTTTAACAAAAGAGTTACTCAAATGCTACAAAGAGAATTGAAAAAATAAATCAAATTATTTTTTTTAAAACATATATTAAGAAAAATGGCAAAGGTGAATCAACCACCGTAGTAGTAATGTGATGATGATGCAAAAAAAACTCAAATCTCATCTCGGTATTTGCAAAACAGTAAATAAAATGATAAAACAATAATTAAAAAGTAATGAAGCGAACTAAGACAAAGGAGTACGAAAAAAATAAGTCAACGCGTAAAAAAAAAAAAAAAATCACTTTTTATATCATACATTGAATTAACATTCCCCAAGTGTGAGACGATCCTATTAGTTTCTCGACCTCGATCATTTATCTGCAAGGGTGAAACATGATCAAATCTTCATCAAAATAACACCTTTTTAAAGTATATGGTCAAGTAAAATACATAATACGGGAAATAACAAAGTAACGAATGTAGAATAAAGAAAAAAATAACATTACACGAATAAACAAATATAAAACGGAACGGATACGAACAATGATGAAAGTGAAGGCGTCGGATGCCCATTTTATAGCTCGAGTGGAAATTATATATAAGGAAAATAATATTATAATTAATGCAAGATTGCTGTAAAGGAAGGAAGGAATTTGAATTTCAAAAATAGATAAATTTATTTGTTATGTTATCCCATGTATTATGTGGTTAATGGTAAATAAAATTCAAAGATTTTCTTTAACTATACCAATATAAATAGATATAATTGTTTGATATCTTGGCTGGTAATTTAAAATAAATGAAAATGAGAAATGACCATATTTACTCGGAGAAAAAAAAAAAGACACCCCACAAATGGATATATGGTTTCCTTATTGGTAAGATTTGAATGATCATTTGTATAATTAAGCAGAGTTGGATTAATAGAGCTGAATTAATGGTAATACTACTAATTTCCAAAAATGATGTGGAATGTAAATGAAATGTATTGATGACATGTTTTTTGCTATTTTTCCCACCAATCAAATTGACAAATGGGATGAAATTCGGGATATATAACATAATAAAATTGACAAATGTCAATAAATTGATAGTAAAATTCATCTTTTATATATTATATAAATATATATTAGAAAAATGTGGGGCAAAAATGGAAATAAAAAATGAAAATAAAATCAAATACAAAAGAGTGATAAATCGAGTTTTATTTACAAAATAGTGAAAATAAATAAATAAATATAATACAATTTATTGAAATAAAAGCATAAAAAATAACATAAAATCAGAAATTTGTTAAAAATGTAAAGTTAATCAAATTTGGTGGAAGTATCTATATAAATTATGTAATAAAATGTGTAATATATTGAGCATTAAAATATATGGAAAAAACAAAGAAGATTCGGTTTTGTGGAGATGATAATTAAATTCAATGGAATATATAATACAAAAGGCAAGTAAACCAAAATAAAAGAAAGTAAATAAAAGTAGGATCAAATTTGAAGATGTAAAAACTTCAATTGTCTATTCCCATTTATATATTATATAGATATAGATATAGATAATCAATTTTAAATTGAAATCTGAAAATAAAAAAAATTCAAAATATAATAATGTATTCCAATTTTTTTTTAATTTCAGATTAAAATAATCAATTTAATTTGAAATCTGAAAATTAAAAAAAAATTCAAAATATAATAATGTATTCCGAAAAAATTCAATTTCAGATTAAAATAATCGATTTTAATTTGAAATCTGAAAAATTAAAAAAATTCAAAATATAATAATGTATTCATACAATCGTCGTCTTAATATAATAATGTATTAATAAAAAATAAATTTTATAAATTAATCCAGTATATTCTTTGAACGTATAATATAAATACGCAATTTTTAAATTATTATTAACAAAAATATTATATATTTATTAAACAGTACAATATAAAAATAAAACATTTTTGTCAATAATTTTTATTATTGAATGGATATTCGAATATTCCAAAATATCGAAAATTAAAAAAAAAAAAGATACAAACGTATTCCTTTATTTTGATATTTGAATATTAAAAAAATATTTTTTTCTGAAAATTATTTGAATATTCTTAAAAAATTGAGTATCATGAATTTTTTCAATAAATGTATTTTGAAATACTGAAAATTTAAAAATATATTTATTAAATACTTCAATTAAAAACTAAAATATTTTTTATTATTATTTTTAATGGAATGGATATTCGAATATTCTAAAATATTGAAAATTAAAAAAAAAACATATTCCTTTATTTTAATATTTTAATATTTAAAAAAAAATTTATGAAAATTATTTGAATATTCGTAAAACAATTGAGTTTCATGAATTTATTTGAATAAATATATTTTGAAATACTGAAAATATAAATAAGATTTTTTTTTTTTCGAATTTGTAAAATATTAACTTTGGAAATAATATATATACATGTGGTAATTATTAAATGATTGTGTAAATGTAAAATAGGAAAAAACTTAAAAACATCCATAAATAAAAATGCCATCTAATCAATTGCAGAATCCACCTAATCAATTGAACTCCAACTAAGCAATTTTGACAAATGACATCATCATTTGCCACATGTCAATCATTGAGGGCATAGATTCTCTTTTTATATTATATATAGATATAGATTATTAATATCTTTGAAGTACTAGGATTTCTAGTCCTAATTGAATATGATTATTAGTAGTTTCGTTTCATTCAAATACAATTGTTTTCGAATACATATTAAAATATAAGTTTTTTTTTTATTAATATGTTGGTTTCTGCTAATTTTAATTCAAATATAATTAATGAGATTTTTAATTAAACATTAATCTATTAGTTTTAAGGGGTAATGGCAAATAGGCCCATGACAAGGGCACTTAATTAAAAGA